TGATGTACAATAAAATTCTCCACGATCTCTTCTATCTCAGCATGCAATCACTGTTTGACATGTTTGTTGTGGTTTAAACTTTGAAATAGTGTTATTGTCTGCCTGGCTTGCACTTCTGTCACTTTAATTCCTTTTAGATCTTAGATCTTGAATGTGCGACACGTCCTTTGAGTGGAAACACAGATAGACCTGGAAAGGACTCACTGGGTCATCAAGATAGATATACGGATGCTATGGCCTGTATCAGCTATGATCAGGGCAAGCAAATGCTTTGTGGAGTTGATATCCTCAGGACTTGGTCATAGTTAGGTGGGACACACTTGGCCTCCTTGGTTTCACACATACCCTCAAGCACACAGCATTTTAATATCACCTAAACCCCCATGCTTGTGTAAGAAAGACAGATGAAGAACTGGCATTTCTTGGACAGGAATCACCCTGTTTTCAGAAAACTAATTAAAAACTGCAGGGGAGAAACTTCCCTTCAGAGATAGGTCCAACATATCCATATGTGAGACTCACCCACATAGGTCAACAGGAGAGCCTGTCAGGATGGAATTGCAGACTGAGGATGGGGGTTACTGCCTATGGCAGTATGAGACTCATTCTGGAGTGCTGGTAAGAGCCTTTGGGGATTTTACAAGACTTACTACGGGGTGTTTAGGGAAGGACCAAAGGTGGGAAAAGGGAGGGATTGAGGTGTTTTGAGGGGCTATAAATGTGAGAAAATAGAGGGAAAAGGGGGATGAAAGGAACTGGTCATATGCAAACTGCTTGTCAGTACAGTTACGGTCATGCCCTGCACCTGACTCCCCCCCCTCCCCCCCCCCCCCCCCCCCCCCCCCCCAGCCTCTCCTGTCTTCTTATGAAACTCAATTTTTCAGGATGAGGGGGCCCTCTATTCCGTGTACATGCGTGTGTGAGGAGGTCTCAGTGCCAGTCACTGGAGTGGGGACTACAAGTCATAGGGGCCTGTGTGCCTGGATACCAGCAGCTGGAGAGACTGGAGTGTGTGAATATTGTGTGGGTTTGTGTGCCAGTGTGTGTAACCATTAGTGAACATCAAGCCAGACTAGCTAGCAAGTATGGGAAGAAGGTTGGGAGGTACTTATCAGAGAGACTATAAATCTGGGCTGGATTCTGGAGAGCCCAGAGGATCTGCAAGTCTGCTAATGGAGGGATCAGGTGATCCAAACCAGCTAATGGAGAAAACGTGGGGTCTGGTACTTGAAGGGCTATAGGTCTAGACCAGGAGGCGAAGTTGCTATTTACATGAGAGAGCAGCGGGAATGCATGGCACTCTGCCTCAGGATGGATGTTGAGTAGGTGAGAGCTGACAGGTCAGCATTAGAGGGCAGATCCACACGGGTGATGTTGTGGTGGGTGTCTGCTACAGACCATCTGATCAGAAAGAAGTAGGTGAGGCCTTCTTCAGATAATTGGAAGAAGCCTCGTGTTCACAGGCCTTGATCCTCATGGCAGACTTGAACCACCCTGATATCTGCTGGAGGGACAACACAGCAGGGCACAAGCAATCCAGGAGATTTCTGGAGTGCATTGATGATGATAATTTCCTGACACAGATGACTGAGGAGCTGCGAAGGGACCTCATGCTTACAAACATGGAAGAGCTGGTCAGGGAGGTAAAAGTCGGTGGCAACCTTGGCTGCAGCAATCATGAGATGATGGAGCTGAGGATCCTGAGAGAAGGAAAAAGGTAAATATGAGGATCACAACCCTAGTTTTCAGGAGAGCAGATTTTAGTATGTTGATGAACCTTCTTGGAAGAACCCCATGAAGAGCCCTGGAAGAAGGGTCAAGGAGAGCTTTTTGATTTTCAAGGCTCCCCTCTTCAAGCTCAAGAATGGTCCATCCTGACATGCAGGAAGTCAAGCCAAGGTGGCAGGAGGCCTGCAAAGATGAACAAGGAGCTCCAGACTAACCTCAGCCATGAAAAGGAAGCGTACAGGAGATGGTACCAGGATTCGGGTGATGCTGTACCAGAGAGACTTTGTGTGCATGTCTGGGTGTGAGGCAACTTGGGAGACAGGGGCTCCAGGGACCAGCTCCTGGACGGACTAAGGATATAAGACCAGCTCCAGGAGTGATGCATACAGTATATATGTATATAAAGTTATATATTTTCAATTAACTACCTTTCATTCTGATCAGCCAGACACAGAATAGGAAGAGGCTGCTGTTGCTGCTTGTGTTTGCATGAGTGTTGAATGTTTCTGTCTTTGTTCTTTTGTGGTCCTGTTATGGTGTAGGATGTTAAGCTTTCTGAACCCTGTATAGAAACATATGGGTAACCTTTAAGTAACCCTGGTTAAGCTAGGCAGGCTTCCCACCACACTAATTCAAAATCATGTGGAATGGATGTTTTGGTGGAAAAACATCATGTGCCAGTGGCAGTTGCTATTGTCAAGTACCAGAAGGTTCCAGAGTATTTACATGAAGGATCGAGATTAGACCAGTTTGAGCCAGGATTCAATACTGAACCAGCCACGAACGTAATTTATGCCTATGTACACAAGAGGTCTTCGGCATAAAAGCAGCAGAGTCTAATGCTTTAGTGGTTCAGCTGTAGAAGACGAGCGGAAAACATGGAGATGGAGGAATATCGACATGCCAGGAAGTGGAGAAGCTGAGAGGCCTTTCTCAGGGCTAGAAGAAGCTCAACAGCCTCGATCAAAGCTGTCCCTCTGGTTGAAGACCCTGCCAAACTGTCTGACGCTGAAGTGGCTGGTCATTGCTGAAGCGGAGGAGTGGCACCACCTGAAGACCTGCCTTGTCCCTAGGCTCTGGACGCCAAGTCCTAGTACACCCGGGATCCTATCAGTCATCATTCCATGAGGCATCTAGCTTGCGAACATGTGAGTTACATTCAGTTCACAACGAGAGCTGGCACACCCCTCTGGTGTGACCTGGTATACAGCACCAGTATGCCCATCAGCGTGACTTGGTAAGGCTGGTTATCCGTTAGGGGTAGTCTGACCCTCTCTCCCCTTCCCTTGTGGTATGTGATGCGTCGATGTTATAACTCTGCGACAGCTATGCTGATATTAAGTTATAACACCTATCTAGTCTGTATGTTTCTGTACCTTAAAAAAAATATGTTTCACAGAATCACAGAATCACAGAATGGTTTAGGTTGGAAGGGACCTCTGGAGTTCATCTAGTCCAACCCCCCTGCTCAAGCAGGGTCCTCTAGAGCATATTTCCCAGGATCACATCCAGACGGGTTTTGAATATCTCCAGGGAAGGAGACTCCACTACCTCTCTGGGCAACCTGTTCCA